GCATATGCCATCACGGCATATATTGAGGCTTTGGGTGAACCAGGTTCCCAACATCCAGTCGAAATTCTTGGATCGAGATTCTCGATTCGAGAAGGACACTGCGCTCAAGCCTGATGTAGTGTTTTGAGACATGTCGCGATAACAGTAAGCCAACTCCTAACTAATACACGGTGTGTATTACATGCACGTACATAGGGTGACACACAACATCGTAGGTCCACCTCTCTAGGACTCTATGAAGTTTCACATGAGTACGCATGTGTGGCTTGAGGAAGCCACGCGGTACTCGGTATTACATAGTACTCTGAGTACCCAAACACATAGCTGAGGCCCCGATGCATCATGCACTGAGAGGGCAGTGGCGATGGGAGGTACATCCATTACAGTTAAAATCATTTGTGTAACTCAAATGTTGGCATTTCAACTACTCCTCGCAGTTGTAACTGCCGAGTACGGCGGATCTCAGGTGAAGGACATGTTCGAAGCCTACAAGGAGAAGTAAGGGTCACCTCACTGGCCGGTTATCACGTACGAAAGTATTTTCGTGTGGCCAGGTTTGGACACAACTTCGGTGCACAAGACGGTTTCCGTATGAAAATTTTTGCAGATAACCTCCGCTACATAGAGGAGTAGAATGCCAAAGGTGGGGTCATCTGGTTGAGGATACCTATTCAAGTTGACGTAAGAGTATCACCTGCAGGTCTGCCCTACAAGCTCAAGGTGACTCCATTCGCTCACCTCACCAATGCCGAGTTCAGAGTGACCAGACTCGGGACAATGCCGAAGAGTAGAAGCTTCACGGGTAGCATCAATCATCGCAGCTATTCCTCTTTTACTGATCCTGAAGATCAGATCCTCATCTAGTGCGCAACTCTTCCTTCAGGAAACGGAGCAAACACCGTTGGTTATGAGGGCTCCATTGAAGAGCTTCCGGCAGCTGTCAACTATGTTGCCAAAGGCTGGGTTACGGGTGTTAAAGATCAGGGCATTTGTGGAAGTTGCTGGGCCTTCTCAACTACTGGTGGGATACTTTTGCTGGCCCGCGCTGATAACTTTCGAGGTTATTGTCAACAGGTGCCCTTGAGGCTCTTCACAAAAATCTTACTGGGGAGCTCGTGCCACTCTCGGAGGAGCAGTTACTCGACTGCAGCCTGTCTTATGGGAATCAGTAAATACCCCTATCGTAGCCTACTTGTATATGATTCCTCGGCCCTTCAGGGGGTGTATGGGCGGATGGATGTTCGACGCATTCGAATATGTGGCGGATCACGGTATCGATTCGGAGAAGGATTATCCATATGGATCAAAAGCCATTCCATTCATCCTTCCGATTCATTATCCCTGTCAGCACAATCATACGGCCATAATCGCAGTGAGTTTAGCAATGTTATCCGCTGAGCTTTTGATCCACCCAATCCTCAGCCCCATTCCATACGCTATGTGAACGTGACATCCTCAAAGCTCGCCCTTCTGGCAGCGATAGCCTTGAGTGGGCCAGTCAGTGTCGCCATTGATGCGGGATCGAGTGCTTTCCAACTTTATGGCGGTGGGGTTCTGAATTGTACGGTGATATAATACTGTCATGCTCCCATATGGAACGCTTTCCGCTTTCAGCTTCGTGCAATACGACATTGGATCATGGCGTTCTCGCAGTTGGCTATAACTTGGAAGCACCTGAGCCGTGAGTTCATCACTCACCATGAGCGATCGCACTCGACGAATCAATGCGCTGATCAGCTACTATCTTGTAAAGAACTCCTGGGGAGCTACATGGGGCGACGAAGGTTACATCAAGATGGCCATTGACGATTCACCCAAGGGTGAGTTTTGAACTCCGACGGAGTTCAAAGATCCCTCTCTCGTAACCAGATGCCATTTTCAGGTATCTGCGGCATTTTGCTCGCTGCGAGTTATCCCATTGCAGCTTGAATGATCCACTAGCCATCTGCTGCGCCTAGCCCAGTGAGGAATTCAGAGCGGACGCTCGTCAGCAGTTTCATGAAGTGTCCCGTGATGGCTTATCATTCACAAGAGGAAGCACCCAATAGATATTCCTCGTGGATCAAGCGCCCTCCTTATTATTTCGTTAGGTCTCAAGTAGCTGTGCTTGAAGTTGTTTTTTTGTTATTCGAGAGTTATGACTGAAGAAACTTCGCGATACTTCAGTCTACACTTTCAGATCCTCAGCTCAGCCCGAATTTTAGATGTGTTCGCTGTGGGAGATTCAGGATGCTCCATAGTCCGCACGCGCGCACATAGTCCGTGACGCGTTCCTTTTTTTCTCTCACTTGTTGACGCGTACATCATGACAGATAGTTGATTTCTTGGCAGCAAATAGCTGCAAGTAGGATGAATGGTGAGAGCCAGGATTTCTCTATTTCATTGAGTCCATCATGGCATCGAGTTCTGCAGTCGTAGGAGCACAAATTCCAACACTCGCCATTGCTAACACTCTCCAACCAACCCGCCGGAGATTGTGTTCATCGCACGCGAGGTTACGGTTGGCCGCCAACCGGTGGCGTGGTCCGTCCAGTTCAGTGAACTGGGCTCACTGACTTTTTCTCTACTCGATTATATCAGACACGCTCGCTACGCGATGATCCGGATTAGTGATTGAATCTTGAACAATTATTGATCCAATCTGGCACAAATGCACCATACAAAAACAGTATGCTGCGGAAGCAACCAACTCCATCTGAGATTCTTGTGGTTATATTACCTGATCTATGATGTCGAGGAATATAGGATAGAGAAACTTAGTTGATCAATGACACGAGGCCTCACAGAATCGTCACGCCAATATTTAGTTTCTGTCAAGCCATCACTTGCGCGCTACCATAACAGGTAACACAGAAGAGTTGATGCCTTGACATGATTCTCGAACCTTTACCGTTGCTCCAATGTACTACGCTGTATCTTCATAGTTAGGCGAGT